CTAAAGGTCCCTTCCAACCCAAAGCGTTCTATGATTCTAAAAATCTCCCAGTGAGTTGCAGACAAGGAATATTTCTCCCTTTTGTAAGGTGACTCAGAACATATTCCAACTACCTGTACTTGGGAACTGCATAAAGAGAATGTGCCAGATGCAGGTCCTGCGTTCATATGTCTAAAAAATATTTTTAACCACCTTAGGATCTTTCAACAAGAGAAGTCTACCTCAAATGAGAGCATTAGAAGCTGGTCAGCAGAGGTTCTTTTTGCCTACTTTCTATATGCTTTTCTTTTATTTTTAACCGTTTCCTTTTTTTTTTCTTTGTAGCTTTCAGAGGACATAAAGAAAAAATGGAAGTGAATAAAAAAATGTTCACTTGCCTCTTTTCACCTCAGAACTACTTCAGCTCACATATCTTCTGCCTACAATACCCAATCCAACCTCTTTTTCACGCTCTAGTTCTCACCCTGCATCCTTCAGTGTCTGACCTTGTAAATTATCATTAGGCATTTCTGCTGCCTTAATGGTTTCATTTTGAGGAAATGAAGCTCATACCTTTTCTTTTCATCTTTTCTGTTCTCTGAGCTATTTGATGAAGAATTAGATCTTTTGGCAGTCTCTCTTTCATGAACAGCTCCTGCCTGTCTGTAATCGAACATAAATCTTTCATTTTTTAAAAAAATCTCTCTCTGTTCATCAATTCCTATGTTCTCCCCACTGTTCTGTTTGTATGATCAGTGCAATATTTGGGGGTCTTAGAGATCCAGCAATTATTAAATATAACTCCTTGATTTGCTATTGTTTGTATCTTCCAGAAGCACTTTCTGAGCAGATATTTCTGCCATACAGCTTTCAGAATTTAATTCAGTAATCGAATATCTTTTGACTAAAAGTGAACCAAGTACAAAGTCTGTACAACTCTCACCGATGATACATTTAGTTCCACAGACCGTGGAATATGAAATAGGGAGTGCCAGTTGGACAAGTGGGTAGGCATTTACTGTTTCCTCCTTGAGCAAGACAGATTGCAGTCTTCTTCCCTCATTGTTTGGATATCTCCCAAATGTAAGTTAGTCAAGTTTTGCAAATATTTTAAAATCTATATTAGTGTCATAAACTGTTTGCCTGAACTGGAAGAAGATCTATGTAATATCCTATTTGCTCTCATTGTTGTAGATATGACGACTAGAGTCTCAGGTTTGAGCAGGAACAATAAGAAGGAGTCTTGAAAGTTGTCAATCATTCTCATCACCACCATCTGATGATAGATAGGCATGAGTTCAAAATGCCAAATGAACATGATTTTTTCAAGTTACCATGATGAGGACCTAAGAGCTAAATATTGTTCTTTTCCTTTCCAGATTGGTGCTTCTCTGTTTGCCAGTAACATTGGCAGTGGACATTTTGTGGGAATAGCTGGAACAGCAGCAGCTGGAGGAATTGCCATCGGAGGATATGAATGGAATGTAAGTGGCATACATTTAAGTGAGCATATTTGTGAACATTAGGATTATCTGCAGAGGTTAATCAAAATAATAATTTAGGACTGTCAAAGTTTGTGCTTGGCAACACTTCTTTTCTGTACAGACCAGTAAGTGCCAATGTAATCTACTATTTAGCTCATCCTCCTTGGTCCTTGTCCAAGCCACTGGGAGAAGATGACCCTTTTCCATTGAATGAGGCTTTTTAGAGAGCATTTGAACCAAATAAATGGGTGGATTCTCTTCTCTATATGTATCTTTTGATTACTTTTGAAGTATTTATAAAGAGCACTTTCAGACTGCAGGATGTTGGGAAGAACTTAGCAGTTTTGTAATCCATAGTATTTTTTACAGCATTTTGCTGTGTAGGAATTGTTGAGGGGGCTTTGATTTCTTCACAGGCTGTAAGAGATTTTGGACATCCTTCACAACAGCCTGCATTCCAAAAATCTTCTCCTCTTTACTTTCTCCTTCCTCTCATTATATGTGTGTTTTGCTTATGGTTGCAGTATAGGGTGGAGATTCCTTGTATTCTCAGGCTCAGTGAGTGTGGATAATAATGCCCTTGTTCTGCTTAATTGACCTTCATGGAACGGATTATACCATGACACAAAGGACTTAATGAGCATACATAGGTCAATACTGTCTTTGCATATAATTCTGCAGAGTGAAAGAAGCATACCACCCTGAGGGATTTGGCCTTTTTCCTTAGCAAGTAGATGGTTGCTGCAAACAGTCAAGTACTCATACAATAGAAATATTTATGAAGAAGGATGAAGGCTAAAATGAACTCTACGAGATGTGCCCAGTTAATCTGTCATCTTTCTCTATTTGCTTACACTAGTCTTGTAACTAATCTAATTTCCCTTCTCTTTGTACTGAAACTAAGCAAAACAAAACAGAACAAGCATGGCTTGAAATTTCATGGTATTCAAATCTCGAGGACGCATACCCTTCCTCAAACATATCCACCTCTAACACTTCATCTCCTGGGAGATTCGCTGTGGATGAATATCAATACGTAGTGTACAACAATTGTTGCTTAGGAAGAAGCAATGATGCATGTGTGTATTTGAGCAGATACATTACATAGTTTATTACTTATGACATAGTGGGACTGGTGTACAGGTTAATAGACATGGTGGAAATATTGCTCTTGACTCTATAATCTGACTCTCCTCTTGAAAGAAATACTAAATTTGACTGCTATCATGCTTGAATATCTCTTATTTCACTGAAATTATTTCTAATTTGTAGTAGTATGACAGCAGAAGTTGATGCAGTATTTCTTGTCCATCTTACAGTTTTGATCTAAGGGCAGAACTTAAAAGATATAGTTAAAACAGCCCTCTAAGCCCCGTGGACAGAATAAATGCAGAGTGCAGCTCTGAGAGTAGGATTTTGTTCTATATTTGTCGACTTAAATATGTACAACTCTATATGAGACAGCATTTGCTAGCCATTTAAGTCAGAAAACTGTGACAGTGCAATACAGTAAGATCTATAGTTCACAAAATACACATGGTAACACAAAATATATCATGAAATGGTAATGTGGAAATACAGAATATTTTACTAAATGCATGTGGTACATCCTGTACAGTATGTGGGATTGTTGTAAAACATACAGCCATCTCACAGAGACCCAGTGCGAAGGCAGTTAATAATCAAAGTAATAATCAAAAGAAGTGCTACTCTCCCCAGTACCTAGATTTGCAGATGTCACAACATGCCATTGCACCATACCTGATTCTGTGTGGGAAAGTATCCTGCATTAGGGGCTCTAGGATCAAGATGCTAGCAAATAGGCCTCAAGTAGCAGACTTCACCTTCCTCAGTATTTCCCAGAAATGGTAGTCTTATGGGGTGGTTGCATTTTAACCATCATTAAACCAGGCTCCCTGGGCCTGCTCTGAAGAGGACAAAGATAGTCTGGTGTTGCTAGTGGAGTGGTGCTTTGAAACTAGAGGGCAATCCTGTGAGCAGAAATCAGCTGTTTTTCTAGAAAAGGTATTATTATCATACATGCTTCTCTGGGACATCTAGCATGAAATCCAGGCTGCATAATACCTGACAAGTTTTTTTTGCCAAGATTTCATTCCCAAATTTTCAACAGTAAATCAAAGGACAGCGCAGTTGCTCCTCCCCCCGACCCCCCACAATACCCGGGTTTATGTGGTTTCAGTGGTCTCTAGCTGCTATTGGGTCTGATAAATGGTCTTCGGGAGTGCTATTTAGAGAGAGGAGGCTAATTCAGCTGATCTTGTCTTGGCTGCAGGCTCTGCTGTTTGTGGTTGTTCTAGGATGGCTGTTTGTACCCATCTATATCAAAGCTGGGGTAAGTCAAAAACCATACATTATGCTTTTCTTTGCTGCTCATGTTTGCGGATCAGGCCTTGAATATTGCAAAGCCATTATGAATGGCATGAGATCTGAGCGTGCTAGAACCATACTATATTATGTCTGTATATATTTGAGAAGTGAGGATTCTCTATTCTGAGACCTGAGCTGAGAAGTACTTGGTACTCTCTCCTTGTTCTCCTTTGATTCCTGGAGCTGTTCTTCCTTGCATCTGCATTTGCAGCTCCCCTCTCTTTGCCTTCCACTCTTACAGTATCTGAAAAACAAAAAACTTCCTCTAATTTGCTTTGTATGTTTCCCATTATCTGAAACCTTATCTACCCTCCTTGCAGGTGGTGACAATGCCAGAGTATCTGAGGAAGCGTTTTGGTGGGAAACGGATTCAGGTCTACCTGTCAGTCCTTTCTTTGCTCCTGTATATTTTCACAAAGATCTCAGTAAGTAAAACTTTTACAGCATTTATTCCATCCTACATTGATCTCAAGAAAAGAAACTCCCATTTACAATATTGCTCACACAACTGGTCAGTTGTTTCTGATTTGGAGCCCTTGGTTGAATTAAGGACTGTAAAAACATGATTTTGTGTTTTCTTTGTTCTGTCTAGTGAGATTGTGTATCCAGATCTGTTCTGCAGTCCAAGTTTTTTCCTTGCTGGCAATGCCTGTTGATGCTTGTTGTGCTTTCTTTTTCTTTTTTGGGTTTTTTTCTACTTATTCTCTCCTCTAGAACAAAGTGTGGAGGGAAACTTGTATTGTATCACAGTCTATTATCCTAGGGATCTGTGAAACATGCAGCAGGAATTTTTGTCCCCAAACTTCACATTTACCTGCTTTAGCGTCCTCTGGTGAACATGCCATCAGTAATACAGATGAGGGAAAAGAGCAAGAGGGCTATGGAGAAAAAGAGAATACTAGGAATTAAAAAATAAGGGAGTGGGGAAATGCAAAGGAGGGAAATGATAATAGCTGAGGTGAAAGGAGGGAAGAGGAGAGATTCTTTTAATGGTCAGGTGTATTAAGTAAGTGGTTGTGTTGCTGTGAAGTAGTAAAGGTAGCTGGTATTTTCCATATATCTTGAAACTACCGAGCTTCTAAAGAAGTCCACAGTTCAGGCATACCTCAATCTGTTGTTTTGCAGAAGTTGCCATGGCAGATTACTCTTTGGCCTCTGAATGGGAGTTGAGCGATAATGGTGCAATTTAAGCTAAAAGACTGGCCTTTTGCTCTCATTCTCACATCTTCATGATAACTGATCCTTAGAAAGGTTATAAATTAAACAGGTTGGTACTGTGGAACTGGCCTCAGAGTTGGATTTCCATATATTCCAAAAGGATTAGTTAATTTGCTGTTGTTCTACCATAATCGGAAAGCCCAGGTATGACACAGAGTTCTGGCAGTCCTAGCAGCTGAGAAACTCTTCCAGCCAGATGACTCACAGTCCTATTCTGCAACACATGTTTGTAATGAGCTCATCAAGGTGTTATGTAGGTTCTGAATTCACTATCTATCTTCTATTTCCAGCCCCTATCATGCCTAAGGGATCTGGCCATGGGATTTCACCCCATTTCAGTTGGAGTGTTTTGCTTCCAGGCAAGACATGTTTTCCATTTAAGCTTCCAGTGTGGTCATGAGGCTGAAGCACCCTGTCCTGCTCTTGTGGTCGCGTTTTATTAGGGAGCAAAGCAATCGTTAAGAGATCCATACAGCAGCAGATTACTTGGGCCCCATTCTACCGGTGGCCCATCCCAGCTTCCCATTAATCCAATTATTCTAGATGTGTGTGGGGAATTGCCATGGAGCTGGGTCTCTGTGCCATGCAGGGGAAAAATGTGGTGCACAAGTTCCTCTAACCATTTCTCTTGTTTCCTCCATGTGCCCAGAACAACTCTGACAGTGTCTGTCCCATGTAAAAATGTGGCTCAGATTTCTGTGGTATACAAACATGTCTTCTGCATTATTGTCTTATGTCACTATATTCAGTAGGGCAGGATTTGCCCAGGTCTGATTTACCTGCCATATCTTATTCAGAATAGGCAGAACAGTCAAAGTCCTTGGAGGTTTTAGGTTGCTGTCAGAAGATGTCAGAATAGGTTTTTCTATACCATGCTATGCAACACCATGCCCAAATTGTCTCCAGATGAACCAGCTCCAGAAGCAGAAAGAGAAGGGTTGTTCCATCCTGGACCGTAGCTACTTTCTTTGTGCTGTGTAGAGATATGCATGCTATGTGATGCTAGCACAGGTCTCTCTTCCCAGAGGCACATTGTATATCCAGACATATCTGTGTGTTGACAATCCGTGCCATAGCCATCTTGGAGATTTGCATTTTACTTCCTTGACTGCTGCCTTTGCAAACACTTCCTTGTGATCTTTGGGGCTTATTGAGACTTGATGTAGAAGGATTGGTTTCTGCCCTGCCCTTCATGGGCAGTCACACCTATCAGTTTGACTGGCAGTGACACGTACTGCTGCTTATCCTTGTAGAAGAGTGGCATCTCATTTCTAGGGCAGTTATTTCATATGCTGCTTCCTTGATGAGTTAAAATACCATCTAATGTTCTTACTAATATAATTATTACAGTACTTTCCAATGAACAATATACTACATCAGGTCATGTAAATCCTGGTGTGCTCTTTCTGGCACAGTGCCCCCCACCATGTGATGATCAGATTCCCTTTGCACAGCATGCCGTGCTTTGTGAGTAATGTCCATAGCAGCTTTCAGGGGCTTGCTAGCCACTAGTGTTGCTGATACTGGTCATTACGCCAAAGAAAATGGCCTAGTAAAAATAAAATCTTCATGGAGAGTAATTGAATAAATTATGACAAGACAAAAGGGAATGAAGACCTGAATGCTTTTGAAGAAATCAGAAATTGGAAACCGGAATTTCTACATGTGTGACAGCATTTTCTTTATGTTCATTGTGCATAATGTCAGTAGTAAATGTATGGGTATAGACTTAAGGGGGGAAGAGAAGGTAGAAGGATAACCTCCTCTTAGGACTGCATGGTGTAGGGGGTAAAGAGTATGTGCCACCACCCTGACGACTCCCACATTAACAGTGCAGCTGGATTCACTCAAGTGTCATGTGTTCTGCCAGTTCCTGCATGGTCTGTGGATGGCTTTTGAGAGATAGCTTGCCATATAAAGGAAAGATTTACTCTAATCAACGATAAGATAAGGATTAAATAGTGTCCCTAAAAGAGTATTAATGGAGAAACAAGGAAATATTGGAAGGAAATAATCTAATTGGGAGGGAGGAGCAGTGAAGTTGGAAGGTAACTCAGCAATTTGAAGAAGCTGATATATTGCTCAGGACGGTAAATAATAAACTATACATTTCTTTCTGCGGGTCACTTTAGGACCATTAATATTTAATGCTATGTAGGCTAAACTAAAGCCAAGAACAATGAAAGAACTGGGACATAAGCTGGTCAGTGGTGTGAAAAGATAGGAAAAAAATATTCCATAGAGAGAAGGGACAAAGGATACAGTCTAACAGCCACTGGGGTTAAAAGCTAAATGTCCTGGTTCCCAGTTCCAAACTAAAACCTATAAGATATCAAATAATCTCAAGCTGCTCCAGAGGCAGAGTTTTGGGAGCAGGGCCTCTGTGGTGACCCCCACTCTGCTTCACAGTTCTCTTCTGCACATCAGGGCAGTACAACTGGAGGACCTCTTGCTGCAGAGGTCCACACTTGTTCCTCATTCTTCAGAGCGAACTAAGGGTGAGATCATACCCTGCAGTCTCAGTTTCAGTGTCTCTGGAATGAAGAGGGTTTCTTCATCTGGCAACTCCCAGCTAGCCAGACTGCGTAACTGCTTATTAGTATATTTGCCCTGCCTTACCTTAGCCTAACCGTGGACAAAAGTGGTGCAAATGCCTGTCCTGTGATCACAGGCTCTGGTTCTACCACAGCCAGGCCTGTGGAACCTCCCGCTCCTCCAGCAAGCTGCCACCTTGCAGCTGCCCTGCAGTAATTGTGTGTGCAGGCTTTACCCCAGGGCACATATAATTCTGTTTAGCTTTGTTTCTCAGACCTGCATATGGGCGGTTCCTGCAGCATTTTGCAGCTCCTGAGCTTGTTCCACACCACTAGGACTTGTAATGTTAAATGAGGGTAGGACTCCATGTATAGAGCCCTTGTGTAGGTGGTGTGGTATACAGAAAGGAGGCATGCAGGTGGGATTGGAGATGAGCCCATGAACTGGATGCTCAGGAGCAAGGATAGGTACAGATACAAACCTCTAATGAAAGCATAATTTACAGTAACATACTACAAGTACACGGGGGTAGATTATTCTGATTGCAAACTTGGATAAATAACATAGATGCAAATTATCTCTAAATCAGGAACTGATTTAATGTGATTAAAATCCCAGAGTGTTACTCTGAAATCTGAACAATTCCTTTCTTATGAAAGAGCTAAAGTGCTCTTCTGTCAGCCAGCTGACGTCAATTATTCTGACATGAACTTAAAAATAGAGATAATATGTTTGCCTTTAATCACCAGTTGTCCTGAGCCAGCAAGACTAGTGATACCACATGTTTGCAAGCAGTAAAGAAAAAATAAGAGACTTATAGAGTAGCATTAAATGAAGAGAACCATGCCATGTCTTGGTGGTGTCACAGAGTCCATGCCTGCACATAGCAGCAATTGTGACCTGAGCTTTAAGTAATTTGTTATTAAGCTGTCTCTCAGTATGTAAGTACAGAGTAGTGAGGTGACTCTGTGTCTATGTCTAGCTAAAATGATCCATCGAAAAAGACCTGGAAGTTCTCTGAGAAGTGTTACAACTCTTGTACTGAAAGCACCACAGCACTCAGAGGAGACTGGCATTTGTACTAAAATGGCCTCTATTTTCTGTTTGGTTTGTTGGGTTTTTTTGTGGTTTTTTTTTTTTTTTTTTTTTTTTGGGGGGGGGGGTGGTGGTGCAGTACTATAAGGGGCAGAGTTGTGTATTTCAGTACTCTCATCATGAATTTGTAGTATGCCATCATCATGAATTTAAACATTGTTTAATCTACCATGTTTTTCTTTTATAGGCAGACATATTCTCTGGAGCTGTATTTATACAGCTGGCCATAGGGCTGAATCTTTATTTGGCTATAATTATCCTGCTTGTTATTACTGCTCTTTACACCATCACAGGTGAGTTTGCAGAGCAGTCTGAAAAATCAATGAAGTTAGGGGAGCCAGAAAAAAGAGAAGAGGTGAGGGGGATAAGAGGGGAGAAATGAAAACCTGAATGGGAGTTATTTATAGTGGTCTTTGTTTGAAAGAGAGAGGTGGTGAGAAAAGTTTAGAAAAAAGGATTTCCACTGAGGCATTTGCACAGGGGCTAATTATTTGTCTTGACTTTTCTTTGCCATTAGGTGGCCTTGCAGCTGTGATTTACACAGACACCTTACAAACATTTATCATGGTAGTGGGATCCTTTATTCTCATGGGATTTGGTAAGTAAATCAGATTAATTAAACTGGAATATTCAACCACAAATCCCACAGTGGCTATGGAAATGGATCCTGCATTGTGGAACTTTGTTACCTTAACCAGCAGATTTCAGTTCATATACCTATTTAACAGGGAAGAAAATAGGCGTGTTGCCAAAAACCAAGCATATTGCCAAGCCCTTTAGTCACCGAGACCACTCCATCTCCAAAGCACAGGTGAATGTGTCAGGTAGTATATAGCATCCCATGACAGAACAGCACTTGTGATGGCTAATGAGGTAAAAGCAGAGTTGTTTGCAGGTGATGATGATACTTTTGAGAAGTTCAGAGAGTACCTTGTTTTAAGAAGATTATAATTTCATAGATATTCAGATACTAATGCATGAAAATTTTTGATTCAAAGTGAAGAGCTGTTGGTCACATTGCTTGTTTTTTCCTTGTTTCTAGCTGCTAGCTTGTGTTAAAACAACCCAAACATATTAACATTTTAAGTAAGCCTTGTAGTTGATCTATGGATGTCATTATATTGCCAGCTGGATAAAAGGTATGAACTGAATGTTTATGAATAGGACAATGTGTGTGTCCAGAAGACCATATGCATTTTAAAACAGAAATCATGCTGTTTAATAGAATTAATAGGAAGGGATCATAAGAAAGAAAGAAGTAGTGGTAAGATTCCGTGAATTTGTAGTGTCCTTTCCTTATCCTTCTAGTTACTCAGCACTTGGTTTTCCTCTAGCTAGCTCTTTCACTGAAATTAAATTATTTCACCATTTTTACAACAGAAATAACTTCAGACTGACCTAACCTGGTAAGACCCTGCCTTAGGTTCTCCTTAGCTCAGCAGTGTGTGGAAATAGGTATCTTCATTTCACTTCTTGGCAAGGCATGTATAAGAGATGTTGAGACAGTGGAGTCAAAACCAACGTTTGCGATCTATTCAGAAACATAAAAAGAAAGGTCACTTTGGTACTTAGATTGTGTGAATACTTACAAAACACTGTTTACTGTTTTCTGAGAATACTGATACATACTGGCTAGGGGGTTTTTACATCCATATTATGGAGGTTTTTCTCCTCACATTCTCTAACTCTATTAGAGATTTCAGTATTAAATACTTTAATGCTACTTTTACTTTCTATTTTTCAGCATTTTCTAAAGTAGGAGGGTATGATACCTTCATGAAGAAGTACATGGAAGCAATTCCATCCAATATATCTTATGGGAATATTACGATCAATGAAGAATGCTACACTCCTCGGAAGGATGCCTTTCATATCTTCCGAGATGCCGTCACTGGGGATCTGCCATGGCCAGGGCTCGTCTTTGGTTTGAGCATCCTTGCTTTGTGGTACTGGTGCACGGATCAGGTAATGTGGAAGCCATATGCCTTGGAAATGCTGGACGCAAAACTCTGCAGGCTAGTGTGCTCTAGGGGGACTCTTCCCCCACTGTAACTCAAAGCTGGGTCACAGAAATGGCAATTATTTCAAGACCGGTCAGTGACTTTTCAGTTTCTGGTTTCTAAACCGCTCCAACATGTGAGAAAATGGAATGGGTGTTCTTTCAATTCTTCTTGTACACTGTGCTCAGAAGACACTGTGTATAATTCCTTTCTGATTTTTTGTGTGTGACCATGTGTTTACTTAGGAAAACACGCATCAAATGATCATTGTTAGACTGGGTCTAGAAATGATTCCCCATTCAGTAATACTAGTTTGTCTCCTATTTGTGTGGCTTTCATCTTTGCATGCACAGTCTTGGGAGGATGTTTGTTATATGTCAGGTCTTTCAGTCTGGAGACTCTTCCCCAATCCTCCTTTCTTCTCCCTAAAACCTACCATCCAGTTTCCCGAGAGATCACACTGACATGAGTAGAAGCGTTCTCCTGCAACTGCGACACGTGAATGTGTCCAATCTCTAGCAAGTGATCTATCTGCATTCTGAATTGTGAGAAAGATAATCTTCACAATTTGTAAAAAAATGAACAAAAAACCCAGTGTAACTGTATCTGTTGCTCAGGTAAATATTTTTACTCCTTTTTGGCTTTTTAGTCTATCTGCTTTAAGAACACCTGGTGAGAAAAAGTCTTACCTCTTAAACATACACTGGATAAATTATATTTTCCTTTAAGTATTTCAAATATATCCTTTGATTTGCATGTAGTTTTTATTTTTCCTAGGGACAGAAATGGTAATTAGACTTTTTCACTGTCACAGAGGTTAAGAAGTACCTTGCATCTGGAACTTGGTATGGTGTGGTCAAGGAAATGCTGTTCTTGGTCGAGTCATGCATGTATGCCATGTCTCCTTGACAGGTTATTGTCCAAAGATGTCTCTCTGGCAAGAACATGTCCCATGTGAAGGCTGGTTGTATCATGTGTGGATACCTGAAACTCTTGCCCATGTTTATCATAGTGCTGCCTGGAATGATCAGCCGAATTTTGTATACAGGTATGCATATGTATACAGAAATGCATATTTCTTCTTACTGCCTATCTTTCACTGCCAATCTCTCTCAATTTCCTATTTTCTGTCCCTTCCCAAATACCTGTCATCTAAATTGTCCAGGCACATGTATGCACAAAAACTTACTACAGAGTGAGAAGCCACAGGTCTTCCTCTTTTCCCTGATCCCAGGTTTCTGCTAATGCTATTGCGGCCCATTTTAGGGGAGAGAAATTCCACAGTGTTCCTCCCCAGTTATCTGTTTGTTACAGCCTGTCGTGGTTTAGCCCCAGCCAGCAACTAAGCACC